CAGTTATCAGTTACGTGACTTATGTCGCGAGTTCAGACCGGTATCAGATATCAGTTCAGTTCAGTTATATATGCCTAGTTCATGATATTGTTATTATTTACGATGTTTTACATTAGTATGAGTTTCCACGGAGCACAGTGCCATAGTGCTCACTCCCCAGTTTTATCATGTTTTTCAGGTCAGGATGTCGGGCCGGGAGCGTGACGTGACGTGGCGGGACGGGATTTTCAGGATATTTACGTTTTGGACTGTATAAATATTATCACGATTTACGCTTCCGCTTATGTTTTGATGACTTGTGATGATGTTTTGATATCTTTTGACGTACGCTTTAGACGAACTCATCACTTTGACGAACTTTTAAGAAAATAAAGTTTTCAGTAACCTGACGTTTTTATTAAGTTAAAACAATGGTTTTCTAAGTTAAGTCACGATTTTAAAAGGTAGCACCCCGAATCAGTTTTCGCGAAGTAAAAAGGTTTTATTTTAAATAACTTTGCGAATTTTAGCGCACTCTGATTTTACAGTAAGGTGGGGTGTTACACTCTAGACAGGCAGTGAGACCCCTCTTGGATAAAGACTGTAGTGTATTCTTGATTCAGTTGGTTTTTGACTGGAGAATTACACTAGCACTTATGATAGATGTTGAACAGGACCACAAAAGGATAAGATTATGAGACTCACTGATCATTGTTATAATCTAGACCTTCAGCAATTGATGTGTACTCCTAAGCTATAAGATAATATAAAATGGGCATATGTATTCATTACTTATTTATTTGATTTATCAAGGGTGATTCCTATTTTGCTAGGATGACATACTCGGTATTTTGGTAAATAAGTGTGTTTATATGATGTGTTGTTATAAATTATTTACGGTCACTGTGTCCCAGTGCGCTGGGTTGATGACGTCCCCGAAATGAGCTCAGGAATGAATATTATGTCAAGCCCTGCAGGCGGATGTGTTATCCGACATAATGATTAAGGATCTGATTGGTACTAGTTTCGAAAATGAATAAGAAATTGATTAATTATTTTGTCAGTAATTTAATTAATCAACGGACGTTATATCTTAAACATGAGGAGATAAATCGGTCAATTAGATTAATATAATTTAATCAAATGGAGGTTCGAATTTATTGAATAAATTGGAGCTAAATGGGGAGAGCGGTAATATTACACTAGTGGAATGTTTTATTATTTAATTCTATTTAAGAATTAGGA